TGCTTCTAAAACTGATACTGCCCTCAGTATCGCAAAGATGACGTGTTGAGACAGATCTAATGAGAAAATGGAGTTCTAGAACTATTATGGAACAAATAAGGAAATATATGTACAACTTTCTTGAGTACAATCTGATTTGAGTGGCATGACAAGTTAATGTTTAATTGAAGTTTAATTGAAAATCTATCGTACTGGAGATTTACACTTAAGCCAAACACAGGTATTATTGCACCAATTAAGTCCCTTATTCAGCACAGTTGGTAAAGCAGTTTCTATTTCCTCTACCTTATCTGTGTGTTGAGGCTGCTGGAGTACATGGCTTCCATGTGTTAGTGCTTCACTTACTGTGGTGGATGAAAGGGATCCTATATTTAAAGTGCTTTGAATCAAGAAGTGCTACACTGTATGTGTGAAAATATCTTCAAGAAAGATAACAAGCCAAGCTGGAACATGATGTTAAAAATTAATCATTCTTACATGGGGTGTAATCATCTTAAAGACTAAGGGCTTTCTGAGTTTTGACTCTTGGATTAATAGCTATAAGTGGAATTATAATAGCATTCTATTAATGATTTCAAATATAATAATGTTGAGACTATAAAGAACCTTTTAACCAGTCATAACACTGGTGTCAGCTTGATATTGTGAAGTAACAATGAGAAATGTGAATAAAAATATTTGGTTGTTTTTATGCTCCCCTTTAATACTATATTGATCTGCATTTATTCACTGATTATGTTCTGATAACTTTAATACATGCTTATGCTTTGTTAAATTAGCATAGGAGTTAGAAACAATGTTGAGAATTTTGCACCAGAGGAGAATGTTTTGGAAGCTGTTGCGTAACTGCACTTCCTGCTGTTAATTAAAGGAATATTACAGTAGATATCTTTGGAATTAATCTTTTACTGGATATCATCAAATCTTAAGAGCATTGTAATGCTTGTTTTAAAACTTGATATGATGTCTAAAGGGCAGCACAGTAGCACAATTGCTGCCTCACAGCGCTGGGGCCCTGGGTTATTTATTCTGGACCTTGGGTACTATCTGTTTGGAGTTTGTATGTTCTCTGTGTTTGCGTGGGTTGCCTCTGAGAGCTCTGGTTTCCTCTCCCAGTTCAAAGACATACTGGTAGGACACATGAATTCTGGGAAAATTGGCCTTGGTATGTGTGTGTGCATCTGTGTTTGTGTCTGTCAGCCCTGTGTCCAGGGTGTACCCCACCTTGAGCCCGTTGCCTGCTGAGATTGGCTCCAGCTCCACCACAACCCTGAATTGGACGAAGCCATTAGAAAATAGATGGAATGTAGTACTATGTAAACAAAACTTCAGTACACTTGGCATGTGGCGTCATTTGCTTATGAGGAAAATATTATGAGTGAGAAACTGAAGAGCATAAAATTATTTCCAGTTGCACTGTGGTAGTTCTTCATGGGTAAAAAGTCTCACTTAAGTGGAGCAGGTGTCATGTTTCAGCAGAGATAAGCAGGACTCGCCTAGCAGTCTACAGAGCTCAAGAAGCTTAAAATAGAACCGCTAGCGTCAATGCTTTCGAAAAGTTTTTCTAATGACAGCCATTCTGAAGATTTCCCAGCAAGAAAAAAACAGCTTAGAAGTTTCTCAATATGTGATTCAGAAATATTTTCACATACTTAAATTCACAAAACCTTTTTGTTTTCTTTTTTGGCAGACTGTCACTGCATTGTGTAGGACTGTGGTTTTCTGAGCTGATTAGGCGTTGGTGTGCTGAGCTTTCTGTATCTGACAGTCAGAAAACTGTTCTGTTCCTGTACGAAAAAACCTGCTACATATACGTTTATCTTTAAAAATTCATAAAAGTATTTTTTTAAGTAATTGGCGCATACCTTGAGGAGTGGAATAATCTACTGTAATACATTTCCCAGAACATATAGTTTTGTTCCAGATGTTTTTTGAATGTACTTTGCTGTTTGGTTCTGAAGATGGTGCATAAACTCATAATGTAGTTGGAGAAAGAAGAATAGTATAAAAAGATGGATTCATCCAGAAATTGTGTATCTCTAGTTTTGGCATTTTTTACTGTGTGGGTGAGGTACGGGTTCGAACTGATTGCATGGGTCTTCCCCATGTTCAGAAGGCTGGTGTTTAACCCTGTGGCTTCCAGATCTGGACACACAGATGGCAGAGAATTGAAATCCTGGGAGAAAAGCTCTGCTTTAAGAATCTACTCTTGTGGAAACGAGGAGTCTCTGGTTACAGTGCAGACCAGAACACATTCTTTTCAGGTAATGAACTCTTGCATGCTTACTGTTTTTTTTTGTTCCTTCTAAAATTTAATGTTGTTCAGGTGGGTAGGTCCATTAGCTTGTGTAGTCTGCAAAGCAACAAGTAATAGGTTTATTCCATGCTGAAAAGAGAAGAGAGAAAACACATCGTTGTTTTCTCTCTTCTCTTTTCAGCATGGAATAAACCTATTACTTGTTCCATATCAGAATGTATGAGAATAAGTACTGGGCATGTCTATTTCCAAGATGGATCTATAGTTCCTTTTCAGACTGAAAATGTCATAGGTTTGCTTACAGGTCCATTGCAGTGCACCTCTTCTGGCTAATAAAACCATTCAATAAAAAGTTGCATTACCTCTAGGGAATAGGTTTTTGCAGAAAAAGGGGACTCTAGACTTAAACCTGAGGTTAGACCAAGCTGAACAGTATACTGAGCAACTCCACCTTAAAAGTGTCTACTGTGTTTTACTGTGGTTTTATAGACACAGGAATAAAAACAACTGAATCCTACTGGATACAATGGAACCCTAAATTACTTCAGCCTGATCTAGAGGTGTACAGTAGCTCTTCCAACTTGGTGTCAACCTTTACTGAGATTGTCAGTTACACGTGCAAGTATTTGAAATGAAAAATGTATTTTTAAAAAAACATATCCCATCTTAAGCAGGTAAAAAAGAGAATGTTTACTGGATTGAAAAGATGAAGGATAATCTCTGAAAGATTTCAAATGTTTAAATAAAATCAAATGACAAAGAGACTGGTCTAAGGAAGTCAGTGATTAACCATGTACCTTTTCTTATACAAGATGAAATAGTAGTACTAATGGAACAAGCAAGCTAGAAACAATAATCAATTCTGAAAAATCAACATATTACCAAACTTATAAAAAGCAGGATGCACTGTGCTCTATCAACAGCTTTGCTATAAAGCATATTATGAGTGAGAGAGGATGCTGCATGTGAAACAGAGGGGAAAGGTTAAAATACACCAAAGATATTTATGTAAGAGATCTTTTGTGCTAAATTGTCTTTTTGGTGATAACGAAGCACTGATGTGTCGCATTATTTTAGGGCTTTTATTTCTGAAGTCCCGTAAGTCCCGTAAGTTGATAAAAAAAAAACAGGAAAGAAAGTTTGTTTTTCTGTGCGTTTTTAAGGTTGATCTGGGAAAGCTGTCGGAGTGCAGCGACTATTTCCGGGCCCTCTCCGAGTCCAGAATGAAGGAAACAACAGAGCACCTCATTCATCTGGAGCACATTCCCTCTGCGCTCTTCCACAGCCTTCTGGAGTTCACATTCCTACAGTGTTTTGATGTGTCTGAGGAAGACCTTCTGGAGCACATTGAAATGGGCAGCTACCTTCTGGCCCAGCCCTTCTTAACCCAATGCCTGGCTACTCTTCTGAAAGTTTTAAGCCCTCAGAACTGTCAAATGTACCTCGACTTCTCTAGGGCCATCTGCTGTGAGGAGATGCTCCATACAATACACCGCTACCTGAGCACGCACCTGCTTGAACTTCCTTGCTTGACCAGAAGCCTGGAGCTAACCGCGCAAGAAACCATCATCAGGCTAAGGTCAAGCGGTACCCAGAGGCTGTGCGCCCTGAAAAAAGAAAACCTGACAGCGAGGAATTTTCCTCAACTTGAAGGAGCACTCTATCTATACAGCTTTGACGAGAACAAAGACGATGTGAGCTGGAGCCGAGAGGCTCGACTCCCATTTGTGGCTGACAAATGGTGCTTCACTACTGCTGTGCTGCACAACTACTTGTTCCTCATAGGAGGGTACCGACAGAAGGTGAAAAGGGGGTTTGAGTTTCAGATGGCATCTTTTCGCTACAATCCCTGCACGAACAGCTGGGTCTCAGTTGCACCTTTAATTAAGGTAGAGAAAAAAAAAACATTTAAAAAAGAATCTAACGATAATAAAAACCTAGTAAGAGTTATACAATAAAAATAATTCTAAAATGGGCAAATAAATGGTATTTGGCTTCAGCTTGTATCATGTATGAGCAGGAAGCCTGTAATAAGCTACAAAGAGGTGTTGCTTTTCCTGTTCATTTTCTTTGTTCTGTATTCATAAAAAAACATAAGATTACAGCCAAGAGGAGGCAATTTGGTGCATGCAGCTCGGTTGGTTGCTTGTGGTAATTAATCTGAAGATTGTATGCAGTTGTATTGTTAAAAGCAGCTCGGGTAACTTCTTCCATAATGTGACAGAATAAGTTGTTCCAGATTCCCACAATTCTTTGGTTAAAAATTCTTTGGTCCTCCTTTTCTTAATCTGCAATGCACTTGCCCATGTGTCTTGTAATCTCTGGTTCGCCTTTCACTGTTCCCGAAGATAGTCCACACTAGGCTGGCTTTGTCAGTGTCTTAGAGCAGTGCCTCCTTGTCCTGGTCCAAAAACACTCCTCTTCTGAAACAGGGTACACGGTGGTAGTGCAGTGATCAAACTTCAGACATGAGAATGGAAAAGAATAGAGGGTACAGAGGTAAATTAAAAACAGGACTACCTTTTTTGTTGTTGTAATCTGTTCAAGACTAAAACATTCAGTTGAACAGAAACTGACCCTGTATTCAAAATCCTCAAAGGATCCACAAAGTTCACATTCACAGACGTCTTTAAAATCAGCAGGAAAACAAGAACCAGAGGATACAAGTGGAAAATGTGTGGAAGTGCGTTTAAAATTGAGGGGGCATTTATTTACCCAAGCGGCTGTGGGAGTGCGCAAAAAGAGACCTAGTCATGCGGTTGAAGCCGATACGATTCTGTAGTATTTCAGGACCACTGTTTTCTGATCATTGTGTTATCTTGTGTGATACGTTACAATAACCATTTGATTAGTTGCAGGGATAAAATGGAGACTTTAGCTAGAGGTGGCTGTTGGAGGACCCCTACAATGGTGCTATCTTGCTATGTTACTGTATGTCTTATTGTGCTCTTAGTATACACCATGTCTTTATATATACAAATACACAACACAGCATGGAAGCACTTTGTACTTTTTTTCTTCCACTACTGGAAAAATACTGTGTGTGTAATGTTTCTGCTAATAGATTTTTATTTGTCATTTTACAACATTGGCATTGACACATTCAAACCAGTTTTTCATTTATGAAAAGCATTTGATGAATTTAACTTTGAGGGAAATAAAGCGTTGATATTTTCCTTTCTCTATTACCCAGAATTGACTTTTAAAGAACAAAAGGGGGGCTAATGACTTAAATTTAAAAATTTACATAGGCATGAGCCCATGGAACGTCAGATGGGGTTTTGTTTTTTGTGTCCCCTAAACACTGTACATCGGTGAGCTGAGCTGGCCCGGGTGAAAAATGTTAAGCTAACAAAATCCTGCTTTGTTTTGTTGTGTAACAGCACAGACGCCATTTCAGCACAGCAGTGTGTGAGGGGTATATTTTCGCAGTGGGAGGCTGGTATCTGGACACCCTGGTGGCTCCTGACTCCAGCACTGTCCTTTACACAGCTGTGGAGCGCTACGACCCCTGGACAGACACCTGGGCCTTCGTCTCATCCCTCCCACTCAATGACTTCCTCTTCACTATGTCTCTGTCTCATGATATCCCCCTCACCTCAGTCCTACATGACTGCATCTATGTCACAGGCAGCATTCAGAGAACTGGAGAGAAACTCATTCTGCAGTACAGTGTGAAACATGGTGAGGATTTCTATGCTGCAGCTGCAGACACTCTTGTCTCTTAAAAAATAGCATTGTTTATCATCCACCCACCATTTTAGTGCATTCAAGGTCACAGAGGAGCCGGAGTCTAATTCAGAAATCAAAGGGCGCAAAGCAGGATACACCCTGGACAGGATGCAAGTTCATCACAGAGCACTCAAACACACCAACACCAACACTCACAAAAGGGACCATTTTCCCAGAAGTCAATTAACGGGTCATTTTGGACTGTCGAAGAAAATCCATGTTAACAAGGGGAGAACATACAAATTTCATGCACATGCAGAGAGTAATGCTAACCACTGTGTCTGCCTTGTTTATAAATGTTTGTTCTTTTTTGTACCAGTTAAGATCCTAATTTATGCAAAAAGTCTTAAATATGTTCAACCTCAAATATGAAAATGTATCAACCTTCTTTCTTTCTTTTAAAGAAGTCAGATTATTAGTTTTAACATCAGAACTTGGTCGTCACAAACATTTGGGTAAAAAAGTGCCCTACTGTATGTTCCCAGTTAGAGATGTACTTCCCTGTAGTTGCAGACTGCTTCAGACTGGTAAATTTTCACCACCAGAAAAATTAAGCATTAAAACATTATTATATAGTAATTAGTAATTAATTGGAGTAAGAAAATACTCAAAGACTTTATTACATGTACAAGACTATTGTGAAAGACAGGGAGAGTTTTTTTATTGAGGAACACCTCAGTGTGTAGCGTACATGTGTACACACAACGTATATTGCTAGATCAGCACAAGCATCAAGTGATCTTTTCACACAGTTCTGCTCAGTAAAGCAGACGGATTGAAAAAAGCTAAAATATAGTTAGAATTCAACTTCATGAAGCATTATGACATTTATCATTATGTTACAAATGCTAGAATCTGAGTATGTAAAATAGCAGCTTATACTGAGATTGATATTTGTTTTAAATCCCTATATAAGCAGGTTACTAAATGCACCCAAATTAGGTCTATTTAAAAAATGGACTAATCTTCCAATCGATTTTGAATCTTAAAAAGTAGTCAATTACATTTCAACAACACCAGTGTCATTTAGGACATTTTGTCCAGTTCTGTGTTGCTATTTCCAGTGAGGTCCAAACAACTGCTGATTTGTTTGCCTTTTCAGATTCCTGGTCAGAACTGCTCCCCACCTTGACCCGTGCCGATGCAGAAATTCCCAGTCTTTACTTCTTTGGAGCCACAGACAAGCTGCATTTGATAGGAGGGAATAACCACCAGAATGTTGTGACATCATTCTGTGTGGAATCTCGCAAGTGGGAGGAGGTCCAAGCTACAGAAAAGATTACTCTTGCAGGGCAAGGAACAATTCTCAATAATGAAGTTTACATGCCTGCAGCAGAACAGAACTCATTCGTAAGACTGAATCTCCAGTCACTCTCCACCCACATGCTCCCTCCTCTCCCAATTTCATCTTCATATGAGGCTCTTTTTCATCTTTTTTTCCCATGGTGAGAGTTTCACATGTAATCCTCCCATTCAGTGAAGCACAGTACTTTGACCTTGAGCGTGATACTTCCACCTGTTTCTAGAAATGTGTTGGTCAAGACTGTTTTGATAACATTCATGAGGCTGTGTGAGTTTAATTACGCTTGTATGGCAGGATTGTGCTAGCTCAAAGCATACCGTATGTGTTAACAACTACAGTAGCATCATGATTATACTCTTGAATTTATTATCAGTAAAAATGCTTAACTAGTTGTGTTAAAATCATCTAATGGAAATCAAGTATACAGGTCTGTATTTCACTATACCTGTAAAATCTGAACATTCTAGAACCCAGCATTTACAGCACTTTGGTTTACTGTTAGTTTTTTTACTTGTTTTTTTTTTGTTGGGTTAAGTACAGTGTGCATTTTAATTCTGAGAAAAACTTCCATAAGATTTTTTTTTTTCGTGAGAGCTAATATGAACCTGTGACCATTTTATTTACTTTTATTGAAGCTTACAACAACAAAGAAAGGGCTCAATCACTGCAGCACAGAGCATTAGGAGAAGCTTCTACTTCACTTTGTGTGTGTTTACTATTGGAGCAATATCGTCTGTTGGAAAGAAAATCCTTCAAACTATAGAATATTTGTAGGATTGGCCTTCTTTAACATTGCAAAAATACATTCAAGATTATTAAGATGAACCCGGCTAATAAGAGCAATCTGCATTTATGCATTCAATGTCAGTACCTAGAAAATATGTTATATTTAAAGAGTACCAACTGAGGTACTGTACAGTAGAACATTTCATGGTGTCCTATTACACACACACAGCAAGTTAATCTTTACAGAGAGAGAGGGCACATAGGAAAGGACACAGCAACAGAGAGTTGGAGCATTGTAATGTGGAGGACGTTTAAATCACACTGGTCAACAGAGACAATCAAACTCTCCGAGCTCTGAAAGTGTCTGAAGCTGTGCTCTGTTAAGCTTTCTTTCCTATTTTTGGTTCTTTTCTTGCTCACCTGCCACAAGGTAAGTTTTTTTTTATTGGTAATTCTTGCTGCACTTAATTTTGTTTGTTAAGATGCTTCTACAAAAGGAAATTCTTCTTACTCTTGTTTCATCACGTTCATTTTCATTTAAATGCAATAAAACAGCCAACAAGAAGAGGCATCACATTCAGTTCAATCCATTTCAATGCTGCTGTCTTGTTTTGTTTTATAGCCTTGCTGAGTCTTCAGACTCAGATTATGGTTTGACGCTGCTGAAGCTTATTTGTCAAACCATAATCTGAGTAATGCTTGAAATTACATTACAGGTCTGTCATGTAACTTCAAGCACTTGATGTCTGAACAGGTTTTCAATTTAAAAAATATTTGCATATTTTTAAAGAAATAATCTGACATATGGGGTATTCAACATCAGTCAACTTTTCTCCACACAAATATAATAATAGCAATTTACCAGCCACGCTTCACAGTTTAATGTTAATTTATTCAGGTTGAAATTAACAAGATTGCTTTTGCTGCCGAGTGAATATTATACTTTTTAAATTTTTTTAACATTTTGTTTTATGTACAAGCAGCCCTTAAAGTTTCCCAAAGACATTACAATGGGTATGAGTAATAAACTTATAGTAAGTTTAAGTACAGTAAGTGTCCCTCAGACATTGTAGAAGTGCCCATCTGTCCTACTAACTTATACACATCCTGTATAGACATTAGCTTTCTGTGTATGTGATGCTCAAAGCCAGTCTACCATAGCCTACTGCATGTTTTAGCTGTTTTGTTGCTTAGTGTTGTCTCATATCCAAATCATCTGCTTCAGTACCACTTGTCTTATTTTGTCTGAGCTGTTTTAACTTATTTAAACACACGTTTTACATCATTTGCAACTGTTTGCTACATTATTATCTTTGAGCACTACAACATGTTGTGGTGGAACACAAGGATGATACTTTGCTGATGTTATTATTAATTATTATGTTAAGCAATATTATGTTATGTTAAGCAATACTTTTCCCAATTATAAACTCAACAGCTTGTTAGTACCTTTGCCACAAATCAGAAAGATCACTGCTGTCACAATTATGCTCAGACATAACTGGTTTAATTCAGATTTCTGTCTCTAGAACACAAGGATCAATAAACGTGTATACCATATTTCCTCTTTCCTGCAAATCTGGGAACAAATGATGAAAAAGAAATACTAACATGAAGCATCTGGAACCTTTATGGGAATTCTTCTTTCCAATGCCCGTCCACAAATATCTGAAATCCTAAATGCCTCATTGTTAATAAAAGGCAAGCTCACATGCATTTGAGGAATGGGATATGCCACTTTGAATAATTTTAATTCCAGCTTTCTGTAGCTAAAAAGCCATTTCCTGACACAGTTCCCTATAGCACCTGAATTCGTTGCAGTGTTTATATTTGACACATGATGTTGTCAGCAAGCAGGCTACACTCACTCTTATACCTCTCAGATCTGTAAATAGAAATGTCAACTTTGTCCCACTTGGTGGAATTCCAGTCACACGTGATGGAAAATGCCTTTCAGTCTTGACTGGGTCATTCAAACACTCCACTTAAAAACAAACGAGGGCTGTGTGACCTCACAGCAGATACATTTTAAGATATCTAAATATTTTTTTTTGCCAGACTGAAATAGAGATATATTAATTCTGAATGACAATAACATCAATTAAAAAATACAGTAATGTAATGGATATGGAGTTATCAAGACTGAAAATGATTTGTTATTGCTGCGTTTCCCCACATACTGTTCCCACCTGTGTTACTGTTCCTCTGACCATGTTTTCATGGTGCAGTGCTGGAGCAAACAGCATCCAGAGGGGGAGAATGTGAGTGGAGGGACTCTTGTTTCATTAGGGGAGCTTAACTGGGGGTCTCTCCCCACAGACACAGTCAGGACATTGTGTTGGATACTTTTGGCAGTTATGTCCCCAGTTGATAATAATATCTGCATCCTCGTATACTACACAACCCCTTTAAGTCACATCATCATTACATCACGTTCAACATCCACTTTATCCAATTCAGGGTCACTTTGGTTCAGACCCTTTTCCAGGAAGCACTTGGTGCAAGGCACACACAGAACATACAAACTCCATGCTGATAGCACCCCCAGGATTTGATCCCAGGGCCTCAGCGCTGCAAGGAAGCAATCCTAACCATTCTGCCATCTCAGTTAATTGTGAAAGGTGAAGGAAGAATGCAGTAAAGTGTTTTACTCAAGGTTACAACTACAGAGTTTCCACCTGTGATCGGAACGAAAACATTTTCAGTTAAAAATCCCTAACCACTACTCTACAGTGTTGCAGTAACGCACATGTACAAGTCTAAGTGTAACAGCCTAGTAAACAAACGAGTGTATTCGGGTATTTAGGAGAAAAGAAATTTAAATTGGCACCCCAACGTTTGCGAATAATATTTTTTTCTCGAAGTAGATGAGAGTGCAGAAAAAAAGTGATAGGCCATCGAGTGCAATATTTATGTTAGGTATTTAATTTTTTTGAAAAAGTTGGCCTGATCCCCAGTTTCACAGAAACTAAGATGTTCCGTTACATCGCGCAGTTCAGTCTCATACGCGATTTCGTGCCCGAAAAATATACTCACACCGAGCTTTTCCGGTAGCATTCAGTTTTCATGGTCAGTAGCAGGTTCACTGCACAATTTCAAAGGACGCAGGTGATGTATTTTTTATTTTTAACAAATGATGTTCTATTCACGTACTGTAAATATTCGTTATTTTCACAACATTTAACGTTGTGAAACACTAAACATACAACAGCGAACAAAACATATTAAACGTTAACATTAACTCGCGTCTGGGAGAGTTTCTGGCTCGGTGGTTGTTCATCGACTTAAGTCGGAGATCGTGAGCTATACTAGTTTAAAAAAAACATTTGAAAGCACGTCACAGAAGCTTATTTCTAACTTGTCGTTAGTATTTGGTATTTTGTACAGGTCAGTACATACGGATTAATTCTTTGTTTTTGATAGGTTTGGGATTTTGTGTGATCACGTGATTTTAGGAGGATGAACATTTTAGGAGGGTTTTTAAAATTTCTGTTGATAGTCCACACTGTTGTTTTGGGCCTTACTAGGTGCTCTTCATATTTGGCGTCAATTGGTATGCGAACATGACCATGACGAAGAGTACATACTGTACCCTGTTATCATGTTTATCACCCGTTTTTGTACACGTCCGTGATCTGAGTATTTCGGAGCATCTAGCTATTTGTTTTAAGTTAACTATTAGCAAACTACAACGTGCCGTTAAGTTACGTACTTTTGTTTTTCCAATCCTATTTTAGGTTCTCCTCCCAGTGGCCCACAGCCAGATAGATTTGAGAATTTATAGCTATATCTTGGTGGAATTTTACATAATTTACAAATCACCCACTGTTACAGTAACCATCTTCACTTCATGAAATGGACAGAAACTTGTACATGGATAGAGGGGGTTTGTTTTGTCTGTTCATTTAGTTGCCTTCAAGCAACACCAGCAATCCTACAGCAGGGCACTTACTGCCACAAGGCCAGCAGTATTTGGGAAGCTAGTTGAATAAGAGAACCCTTTTCCACGGTTGTTTTGAGCATCTCTTTAATCAAGTTAAGTGCAACACTTTGGCACTCAAGAAGAGTTTATTGTCCAATATAAGAATTTTATTACGTCCTGTTGCTCCAAAACAGTTGAGTGATCTCTTGGAATGATATCCCACATCAGTCAGCATTTTCAAATCCTCTCACTTCTGTACCCTAGCTTTTAATTCTGTCTAATTTTATATTTTGTCTGTATACTTGCCTCTTTAATTTTGTTTCATTATACAGCACCTTGGGATGATGTACCATGAAAGATGCTTCAGCAAAGAAGGAATATTAGTTATGAATGTCTTCTTCCTCAGAGCAGGATTTTGTAAGGGGATAAAAAATGACTGACTATACCAGATTAGTGCTAGCATAAAGCTGGCATTTGCTGCCACCATAATCATGCTTTTACAGTGTGCACTATGTAGATAAAATGTAGTGGCCTTTTTTAGCAGGTGGCCAGATCTGTAAAATGGCGGAAGCTCATCAGGCTGTAGCCTTTCAGTTCACCGTCACCCCGGATGGCATTGACTTCCAGCTGAGCCGTGAAGTGCTGAAAAACATCTACGTGTCGGGAGTGACATCATGGAGGAAGCGCTTCATCAGGTTCAAGGTAAAGCAGCCCAAACTGCTATTTATACACAGCTTATAACTGTGGGTCGCTGACCCTTTACACAGTTTGCGTTGCAGATTGGTGTTGCCCTGTCTGATATGTTGAATGTGTTCCTTGATTGTGCTGTAGAATGGCATCCTGACCGGAGTGTACCCTGCCAGCCCCTCGAGTTGGCTGATAGTGGTTATTGCTATCATGAGTACAATGTACGCAAGAATAGACCCATCTGTTGGAATGATTGATGGCATCAAGAAAACTCTGCCTGTCAGGTTAGTGAGGTCAACACTGTATTCTCGAACGTTTAATTCAGAAATCCAGGTCCTCGCCTAATGTTTGTTTAGCCCGTAAAGCAACTTTTTTTGTATATTCTTCTTTGTATATGAATAAATCCAACAAATATAATCCTAACTCAAGTTAAATTGTTCTGTAGTTGTAGTGGTGCCTATTTATTACGTTTATATACAGTACCTTGCAAATGTATTCTGACCCTTCCCATGCTGTTCCAATTTTTGAAGTTAAAATGCTGCTTAGACATTTTTAAAAAATAATATTTTAGTCAAAACCGGAATACTAAAGACGTCTAAAGGTAAGATTAGTTAAAATAAATGTCTGCAAAAACGAGAGAAAAAATACTAAAATATGTTGTTTACTTATACTAAAATAAGTATTCCAATCTCCAAACTCAATATTTGGTGGAAGCACCTTTGGGAGTAATTACAACCTCAAGTCTGTTTAGCTACTAGCCTTTCACGCTAGCATGGTACACATTTTGCCTAGTCCTTTTGACAGATTTTCTCAAGTTATGGACAGCAAAATGGACAGCTGTTTTGAAGTCTTCATTCAGATTCAGGACTGAAGGGCATTCAGTTTCTTATCCTCAAGCCACTCCTGTTTGGCTTTGTTCTTGTGCTTTGGGTCATGATCCTTCTGAAAGGTGAATTTCTATTCCAGACAGGACAGACTGAAGCGGGGTTTTCTCTAAACTTTGCCTGCACTTTTCTCCATCCATTCTTCCTCAGTCTTGACAAGCTTTTCAGTACCTGCTGATAACATAATGCTGCTACCACCATGATTGATAGTTGGATGGAAATGTGCTGTGTTGGGTCTGCAGATTTAACTGGTCTGGCACTAAACCCTTTTGCCACCTGTATGCATTTTTACTTCCTTTGTTACAAACACTATGAGAGATTACAGATGAGTTTGCCACTCTGTCACACAAGCTAGTTTTTAAGTGTAATTCTGGGTATTGTTGATCATTGATACTGATGCACATTTTCTCCCATCTCATACAGTGAGCTATTCTGTAGCTGACTTGGTTTGAACATTCCTTGGTCTTCATAGTTGGATCTTGGCTTGAAATTTACTCCCTGACAAAGGAACCTTACAAATAGAGGTGTTTCTTATTATGAAAATGAGATTATTACTTTACACAACTAATTATGTGACCCATTAAGGTTAATTTTGTGTACCTAAACAAATTTAGATGTGCACACAGTGAAGGGTTTGAATAATAATGAAATCCTGACTTTTTTCATATGAATAGTGTTTCTTTCTTTTTGTTCTTTGCTTCAAATGTGGAGAGCATGTTTTCTACATAAGAAATTTAAGAATTGTTATATCGAAGTGTGATGTCTGCAAGGTTTAAAGAAACACAATGTAAAAACTATGCAAGGGTCTCAGTAATTTTTAAAGTGAGTGTATTTTATCATCTCATTTATCAAACTAGCAAGGTACTGTTTTTTTTACCTTTTCGATATTTTTGTATTAATTTGGGTTTGAAAGAATTCCAGCCCTTAAACCCACACAGAGATCTTGTTTGCCATTGGTCTTGTAGGGATTATCTCACAACCCAGACCCAGACTGTTCTAAGTGCCATGCTGTTTGCGACTGGTCTATGGCTGACTCTTATCCTGATCCTTCGCTACATCCTCAAAGTGCTGCTGTCATACCATGGCTGGATTTTTGAGCCACATGGAAAAATGAGTGTGACCACCAAAATCTGGGCGGTAAGGTTTATATTCCATTTCATTACAACTCAGAAGAAAATCAAGTGAACCAGCTGCACAATTGCTTACTCCCTGCTTTTTTTTTTCTTGTGGGCTCAGAATCTTGTGAAGCTGTTTTCTGGCCGCAGGCCATTGCTCTACAGTTTCCAGGCTTCTCTTCCTAGACTCCCGGTCCCCAGCATTGACGCCACCATTGCAAGAGTGAGTAACTGCAGTTTGCGGTCCACCTCTTTGTCGGAGTGCAGTGGAAGAAGTTAAATTCTCTTCCCAGTAAAAAGCAATGCTTTTGAAATGGAGTTTCAACTTACTGGGAATTCTGATTGACTTCTTCAAGAAATGCAAAATCAACTTCATTTTTGATGTTCTTGAAAAAATCCTTATCTTTTTTTTTCTTCTTGTATTACAGCCAACAGCAACAACAGTAGTAATAATTCAGTATATAATGTATTCGAAAACATAACCAGTTAAACATATACATATGTATATACATAACATAACCGGTTACCAATAATTATGATTATAAGAAGTTTAAGAAAAATACTGTAAGTGTCCACATTTCATGCCTATTAACAAAATGTACAGAGGTTTTAGTAGACTTGCATATTTAACATATTCAGTGGGCAGTGGAAAGGTAATTTCTTAACTACTTTAAACACTAATACAATCCTCTGATTTAATTGACTTACAGTACCTTGAGTCTGTACGCCCCCTGCTGGATGATGAGCAATACAAACAGATGGAAAGCGTGGCCAATGAATTCAGAAAAGATCCAGCTCCAAAACTACAGAAGTACCTCATCTTAAAATCCTGGTGGGCAACAAATTATGTAAGTATGTCACCTTCTCCTGTTTCTTGCATTTCCGTCATGTCCTTTTGTACAACCAAGGATCCATTAAGTGTTGGCATATCTAAATGACACCTCTGTTTGTATGGATAAATAAATAAATTTAATTAGCTGCTTTTATGATCACAATATATAAACTCACTTAAAATTTCTTGGTACTTTATAAGTTGCCAGGATGATAGAAAATATATTTAATGAGAAATATGCTGTAACTTTTAAAGATTTGAAGAAAATATGTATTTTTGCTTTCATATTACAGAACCAGAACTTAATATATATATTAATTTGTTGATAGGTGAGTGACTGGTGGGAGGAATACATTTATCTTAGGAGCCGAAGTCCCATTATGGTCAACAGTAACTATTATGTCATGGTAAGAAATGAGACCAGCAGGACTGATTACAATGATAGATAATTAAAGATCAAAATACTCTGCATGTTGCAAGATTGGTTATGAAAAGGCCCACTGTTCTTATTGCCTGTTAGCTGGATTCCTGTGTTCTCTCTGGGCACTTCAATATGCTCTTAAGCTTGGCCTAGAGAGAAAAGAAAGTGAATTATAGAACTTCCATATATAAGATCAATTGCAAAAAAAATTGGTCAGCTCAGTAAGTAAAGAATGGAAGTAATTAAATTCCCTTATATGAAAATGGATTCCTTCAGTTGCAGTCTTGTTAGTGTAGACTTCAATTCGAAGCACTTAAGTGCACCATTATGTTCTAATATTATGGTTTAACACTATCTTATCATATCTTAACACTCTCTTTATCACAGGATCTTCTGTATATCACCCCCACTCACCGGCAGGCTGCACGGGCTGGAAATGTAGTGCATGCCATGTTGATGTACCGCCGCAAACTAGACCGTGGAGAGCATGCTCCTGTAAGCTCTTCTATTTATCCACGCTAAATGTTAGATTTGTTTTCTTCTGTTATTTTAGTACTTTAGTAAGTTGTTTTTCTCACTGTGCAATGACATTATCACAGCTGAATAAAATTATCCTGATTTCAGACAAGCATATACAACAGGTTGGTGAAAGCATATGTGCAATAAGCATATGTACAAGCATGGGTGGACTCAAAAGAAGAATTAAAAAGATCAGGAGTGTAAAATACAGTAGTGTTTTGCCAAGCAAAGCTAGAAAGACATTAGGCTCTCAGGTGACTTTACTTCTGGATGCTCGGAACTAGGGAAGTTCTATACTCAGAGTTGGCATCCTTGACCATGTAAGCTGAAAGGATTGTGATATTGATACATCTTGATGATTTCTGTTCTGTGATTTCTGAGATCTGAGATTTCTGAGATCGGTTAATGGTGTGACTGCCCTCAGTGGAAATGATCACTGGGATAATGCAGCCGTTTTCAAAACGTAGTTAAGATCTGCAGCCTTTCTAAATTAATCAGTTGTGTATTTCTGGCGAAAGCGTACTCACAGTCAACGCTGTGTTTTGCCAACGCAGCACAGTTTTGCATGAATTGAAAAAACACCAGAGAATCTGAGGTACTGTATCCAAACATTCTCCTAGTATTAAAGTAAAATATAAAACTCCAGGCAAACACATTTTTTTGCAATTAACCTGTCTTAATTGTGTAGCACTGCAGTAAACTGACCAAGTGAAATAACTGTATAGTGAACACTACACTGTGCAGCAATGAAATGTGGTAGACATGCAAATGAGAACACTGAACCCACTATTTTGGCAGGTTTTATAGTAATTGTATACCCTAGGAACGCACTGCATGTCCTCTAGTGCACACCAATGCTAATCTCCTTTAGTGTACTGTTATTTTTCCAATGATCCCATTCACATGTATTTCATTGCCCCTTAGTGCAGTTTTCTCAAAGTTGTATCATGTGATTTCATGAAAGGTTATCAAAAAGGGGGTAGAGAAATTGGATATTTGGTGAAAAAGAAGGCACAACACAACTATTAAAGTATATACCATAGGTAAAAAAAAACTACAGCCAGCTTCCTCACACTACAGGGGACAGCCAACCTTATTATTCCAGAACAGTTACTAATGTTGCCATGAGTGTAATGAAGTTGCTTCTGCAAGTTGGTAACATTTGTTTTAACTTTTGTTCTACATAATGATATATAAATAAAGCAGTTGTTGTCTTGAAAAACACACAATTTACACTTTATGTGTCCATTTTTGTTTACTGTAGATGTTGTTAAACAAAGTCTGTGTTAAGAAAAATACTAGTGCCTTAAAAGCTTTGTTACTGCTTTTTGGTTTTGAAAAACAAATGTGCCTGTTTCAACAAAAATCCTTTGTGTCATGAAAATATGTAAGTGGAATTATTTAAATATTTATTAATGTTTTCCATAGCATCTGAATTCAATGTTTTGACATATACCACCTGCTTATAGCTTTCTCATTTCTGTAAAAAGTAATAGAATTATGAAATGATTATTATCTTTCAATTATACCTTACTTCTTATACCTTACTGATTTGGAGATTTGCATCTGAATAAAGGTAATTATAGTTAAAGTAGATTAGGGGCTGTCTAGCTAAGGGCATTGAAGGGAATTTTATGCCTGTGTATAGGCCGAGTTAACCTTTCTAATTTCCTAGCAAGTGGAGTGTTTGCTGAGCTCTAAGGAAGGAAATGGAAATTGACAGAATGGAGGAGCTGCTTGATATAGAAATATCTATCTGAACCATTTATACTGCATTGTGTGCAGACTAAGTTTTTTTATTTTTTGTATTAAACTTGTAAGCAATTTATTTAACATGGGGTACACATGTAATTGATGTACCACTAAAACTGCAATTCATTTTTCTTTTATGGTTACTCCCAGCTAAGAGCATTAGACATTGTTCCAATGTGTTCCTATCAGATGGAAAGGATTTTCAACACTACCAGGATCCCAGGCGTAGATACAGGTGATGATCTGTTTTGTGAAAATCTGGTAAAAACCATTACTTAATCTTTACAGTTTCTGTTGCTTTTAAAGTGATATATGATATTTTAATGGCTGTTTTAGGATTTTAAATACAGAAAATATCTCTGACTCTAGAACTTCAATCTAGGTACTGAGAGAGGCCAATCAAATCAAAGGTTAACATTTTAAATGTGCTAAAAATGACCAAGAAAAGTCTGGCTTGCATTGACAGTGAGTGCCAGCACAGGCATTTTAATATAATACGTGTGAGAGCAATACTAGCACAAAATAACATGAGATGTGGTTTCTTAGAGTTGACTTGATCTGACAGCATCCTTTATGCTTTTTGTTCTCCTTGAAAAGATTATGTCCAGCATTTGAAAGAGAGCAAGCACATGGTGGTGTACCACAAGGGACGTTTCTTCAAGGTGTGGCTGTATTATGGGGGCCGTCACCTACAGCCCTCCGAGCTGGAGATGCAGTTTCAGAAGATCCTGAATGACAAAACAGAGCCACAGCCCGGAGAACTGAAAGTGGCTGCTCTCACAGCTGGGGAAAGGTGAATGACAGAGGAGATATCTGCCTTTCTAAGGCCAGAAATATAAACAATTATTCAGAGCCAGACGTCTAGGAATCATTAAGGTTTCAGGGAGACTATTGAGACGTTGCCTAGAAAGAAATGAACATTTCTAGTCATGCTTAGCAGGGTGTCAAACTATTCTTTTTAGACACTGATTCTACTCCGATAGTGCTTGTGGTTTATCCCACTTCTGCTTTTAATGTGCTGTAAATACTAGTGGTATAATTTGCAATAATTATACATATTTTGGAAAATTAGGTTTGTAATAAACTGGCGATCTATTTTAATTATGGCACGCATATAAACAAACATTTTCATTAACTAGCGTGGTCCATTCTAGGCTACATGAGGATGTGACAGTTCTTCATAGTTACGGGTTGACAATTTTTCGCAGAATTCCATGGGCCACAGCTCGTGCTACTTTCTTCAGTCAGGGAGTAAACAAGACTTCCCTTGATACAATTGAGAAAGCAGCCATTTTCCTGACTTTGGATGATGAAGCACATGGTTATGACCAGGAGAAACTGAGATCCCTTGACTTGTATGCCAAATCTTTGCTTCATGGAAAATGCTATGACAGGTAAGTGGAAAAGAAATATTTTTTTTTCTGAAAAAGATGATAACCTTAAAGATAACAAAATGCTATTGCATGAGAATGAGATTTAATGAGAAATCAGTATACCAGTGCCTCAGCATTTTTTCCTCTCACAAACCGTGAATTTTAAATAATCATTTATGTAGTTGGACTCATGTAATTTGTACCTATATGAAAAGGAGATATGTACATGTAATTTATATATAGTAGACTTCCATGGCAAACAGAGATGCGGAGGGGTAAACTGTCAGTGTATTGCTCAAACAAACATAACAATATCAGTGATTTTTTGTTCTTTTTAAGGTGGTTTGACAAATCTTTTACCCTTATTGCTTACAAGAATGGGAAACTGGGAGCTAATGCTGAGCATTCCTGGGCCGATGCACCAATTATTGGTCACCTATGGGAGGTAAAGTCTCTACACATACTTCCACAAAGGAAAGCCATTATGCTATTGTAATAAGACAGATAAGAAGACAGGAGATAGGCAAGTAAGGATCTACCTAAAGCAGTAGAAATCAAGTGCCAGAAGTGGGAGAGCACGTGATAAACACACTGAGTAGTGAAATTTCAATGTCCAATGTGCCCCTTGTTGTTTTCCCTGGTCCATTATTAATCAATGCATTTGTTTCAGTATCTTTTGTCAACAGACTGTTTTCACTTGGGTTATACAGAAGAGGGTCACTGCAAAGGAGATACAAACAAGAACCTTCCCCCTCCCAGCATGCTGCAGTGGGATATTCCACAGGAGGTACAGTAGAACAAGCCTCTGCTGAGTGGGAAACTATGACTGTAAACTATATTGGGCTGTGTAAGAATGAGCACATTCTGTACATAAGAAGCAAGTGCTGTATTGAATTATTAAGTATGTCAGGAATTACTGCTTGTATGGCACCAGCATTTATACATACGATCTGTAAGGGTTACCTAACGTTTGTGAAATATAAATACGATGTAGGCTCCTTGCACCTTTACAAGACACGATAAAGCTGAAATGTGAAGCATGGAACTCAAACACACTTTGACACTGTCTCTTGGAAAACTATTCTGAAACTCTTTCTATTGTTATATAATACAGCTACCCAAGGCATTATGTATTATTACTTGTGTATGTTGTTTTTTATTTGTAGTGCCAGGATATTATTGAGAGCTCCTATAATATTGCAAAGACGATAGCAGATGATGTTGATTTCCATGGCTGCATATTCGATGACTTTGGCAAAGGCCTGATTAAGAAATGCAGAACGAGTCCTGATGCCTTCACTCAGATTGCTCTACAGCTGGCACATTTTAGGGTAAGACACCTTTTTCACCGAGTTGCCTTTGAGTAAAACCGAGAAGGTACTGTAGATGTACTGTACAAAATAATCACAAATGAAATTCATATTCTACATTACTTTTCTTTATGTACTGTAATAATTTAAAAATATGTTTGAGAAGACAAGATACCTGTGTATAAGATAAACCTTATAAGATAAAGATAAATTGGAAAAAATATCTTATTTCTAGCCAAGCAATAAACATGTTTTTTGTTTAAAGTCATGTGGCTGCCCTGTTCAAGAAGTGAAAAAAATAACTCTGGTATTCAGTTTATTTATAAATGTACAAATACTTCTTTTCTCAAAACCACATGTGAATGAGTCTCAATGATTGCAATATGTAATGTCCATTTAGGCCACTTACTTAACAATAAAATGGACATTAATACCACTTGACAGGGTATATATGCATATTTAAGAATTCTTCAAAAATATAGTTTAATTTTACAATTATAAATTAAAGTCTAATTCAGTAGTTCTCAGTCCCGGTCCTGGAGAGTTCCTGTGTCTATGTCTGTAACTGATCTGTTTGTTAATTTTTACCCGCACTCAGTCCTTAGTTTCTAAAATACAGTAGGAATTATTAAAATAACTTCAGTACAGAACCTTATGTAGTGTCTTCTCATTTCTAATTCACAATTTTATCCTTTATAACTAAACATCTTTTAACATGTGATTAATTGAACAGGTGGGAATAGCACTATACCAGACAACTTTTACAGTGTTAGTTTTTCCATTTGCTGGAATCTTAATATGGTACATTTCTGTTAGCCCACCTGAATGAGGGCAGTCCTGAAAGTCATTAATTAGCACAGTGTTCACACAAATTACATACCTCTTTCATCTTTTTAATAGCTGAAACCAAATTTAAAATAAGACCTCAAAAAGAAAATTTAAATAAATTAGCCTGTGTAGCAAAACCAAAGAACACTGGACTTACCCAGGACTAGAATTGAGAATTGCCAGTTTCGTTTATAGATTCAATTGCTGTTATTTAAAGATAAATTAAATATTAGATGGATTTAGTATTATACAAAGGTGAAAGGGACATGTAAATGGCACTGTAAATAAAAACATTCAAGCTTTTCCATGGAGTATGTTTGATGTTGCATAAATAAATGCAAAACAGGAATGTATCTTTGTAAATCATACTTTTGGCTGTTTCATTTCTTTCAGGACAAGGGAGAATTTTGTTTGACCTATGAAGCTTCAATGACCCGGATGTTCCGGGAAGGCCGAACAGAAACTGTACGTTCCTGCACAAATGAGTCCACAGCGTTTGTTCGTGCCATGGAGGATCCACACAGAACTGTGAGATGTGATTTCTATGCGTTCTTAAATTGTACTACATTACGACTTTTGAGTAAGAAATAGAGTACAGGAACCTGTCATTTCAAAATGAGCAGCCTTGATGTATGGATCAGTACACCGAGCACAAAATAAAAGAGAGCCTGACTCGGTGTTACATGTTACCTATCCCTGGAGCATCATGCAGGGCCTGAAGCAGATGGTCATGCATTATTTTGTGATTGTGCTGTAGGAAAACGGGACAATAGCTGGGTTGATTAAGCAGGTTTTATAAGACAAATCAGTTATGAATTTGAATATAAAACCCTTAAAGTGTCAGTTGCTCAGTATAATTTTCTTGCGTAGCCTGTATCTCACAGTAAAAGTTCTCTCTGTTTTGCTGTGTGAAAAGGGTGAAGAGAAGTTGGCGCTGTTTCGCAGGGCAGCAGAAAAACACCAACTCATGTATCGCCTGGCAATGACTGGGGCAGGCATTGACCGGCATCTCTTCTGTCTTTACGTTGTCTCCAAATACCTTGGAATTGATTCCCCCTTTCTCAAACAGGTCAGAAACTTTTGGGAACATGTGCCCTGAAAACAAAAGCATTTCATTTCAAGCCATTGAAAAGTTTCACTTTTCTTCCAACCCTCCCAAGAACCAAAGACTTAAGAATTCTAATGTCTCAGGTCAAATTTAAAATAGGGCCCTTGTCTCCCCAACACTTAGATTAAGTACCAGTGTATGGCATTTTTTTAAATTATCCACTTGGAAGATTAATGCAGCAGTTTTCAATTTCATTGATGTATTTTTTTAGTAGGAAAAATAAAACAAATATAAAAGATAAGGTAAGTGTGCAAATGTGAACCTAGCTTGTGTGACATATACATTAACTTCCTTCTCTAACAGCTACCACTTAAACAGTTGGTAGGAGCTGAATATTTACTATCTTTTAATAAAACATTTACTGTGCTCGCTGATTGACTCATAAATTATTTTATTCACATAATACTCAGAAATAAAGTGTCACCAAACACAGCCTTATATTATTATTACCTGTAAAACCTCTTCATTTTGGAAAAAAACACTATTGATACACTACTAATAGAACCTCCTTTCTTATCTATTGATATTTACAATAGTATTTTTGAAGATCATTCATTCTGTTATGGTTGGTTTCTAATACAAGATAAAATCAAGGCCATAACTGATGTGAATCAAAATGTGAGATGCTTCCTATGGAACCTCTGTGAAATAATGTCCTGTGATCATCAAAGATGAATACTGACGTAAGATTGGAAACTCAACAACTTCATTTTACTTCAGTAACCGATTTAGCATATACATAACGTTATTTCCATTTTACAGGACATAATGAAAAGATAGGTTTGTTGATTATTTCAGCAGGAATGTACCTTGGAATTACACAATTTTGAGCTCTAGTCATGTGATATTATAAAAATGTCAGATGCGTAATGTATGGTATTTGAGTTAAAATTGCCTGTGTTATGATTTGAGTTGATTGAGTCTCTGTATACATAGCCTTTCAAAAAGATATGTTTTAAATTGACAAGACCCCGCTTGAGTAATAAAGATGACCTGGTTGATAGTGGTTATGACTGAAGCGAATCAGCCTGTCTGAGAGACTGCTTACATGGAGAATGAGATGCTCTGCTTGAGCAATCCACAGACTAGTCCCGTGAAATGAAATACCAGCTCTGAAATAGATGGGCCGTGCCCTGGGTAGGCAGAGGGGCATTGCACTAGAATCCATGAATACAAGTTATTTTGTTCTTTTTTTATCCAGTTACCATATATATTGTGTGCAGTGCACATACTGTTTACCACAGCTGTATAAATAGGCTATATTCCGTACATTTCTCTTGACTCTAAGTAGCTGTGCCTTGTCTTGGTTTGATATAGGTGCTCTCTGAACCTTGGCGCCTGTCCACCAGCCAGACCCCTCAACAGCAGCAGCATTTGGTGGATATACAGAAGTTCCCAAACCACATCAGTGCTGGAGGGGGATTTGGACCGGCAAGTTTTCCTGTTTTGCTTTTAGTAATGGTGACATCTAGAAGATCAGATCATTTTTTTAGAAAACAAAATGTGTACTTGCTTACACAGTTTAGCTTCTAAATCTCTACCTTAATTACTGTGACTTTTCATTTTATTGTAATTGAAACTTGTCAGTGTGTTTTTATTGAAGAACAGTTGCTTAAATGATGAGTGGAGTAATACGTATGCCTTTTTACTGGACGTGGATGTTTGAACAGCTTCAAATTTTCCTCTCTTACCTTATCGTTTAGCAATATTGTATATATTAGTATACAATTGCCTGGCAGGACATTTATAAGATTAAATATGTGGCAAAATCCCTGTCAATATATGAATCATAGCATACTGGGAAAGCAAGTAAGAATTAACATGTAGCTGCTGATATAAATATTGGTACCGCCTATCTTGGAATTAAATTAATATCACAATAGTTCCCAGTTTTTTTTAAACTGGAAACGTGCTTTGTTTTGGATATCTTCCAAAGATCACTTTCCATGCTTTTTTTCATATTAAGCATTTAAACTTTTTTATTATTTAAAATTTTTATTTTGTATACATAGCAAATAAAAACTGCTTAGTTGTTAACTAACAAATACCAATCCAGTGTGCTACAGAGGTAAAAACCTGCAGTATTTTGTGAAGCAAATGTAACAAAATGCCTCAGTATGTATAACGAAGCTATCAAGTGTACTGCAGTTTGAGAAACAAGATTTATGTTTAATAAGTCAGTTAATTACTATTATTCAGATAGAGGGTTTCAATTCAGTTTTTTTCTGAAGCTGTAGGCAATAGAACATTAGAACTAAAGGTGATGATAAACAAAAAAAATACAGTAAAATGTGGTTTTGTTCAGCAGGAGGACCTACACAAGTTGACACAAGAGCTATATATGAACCAGTATTCTGTATTTATTTTCTTTAGGTAGCTGACGATGGATACGGAGTCTCTTACAATTTCGTTGGGGAAAATCTCATTACTTTCCACATTTCCAGCAAGTTCTCTAGCCCAGAAACAGTATGTATGGTTCTTCTACTTTGTACACTATATTACGTTGCTCTGTGTTCGTACATTGAGGAAAACATAAGAATCTTGAATAGGACCAGGTAACGGCTTTATTCAATGCTGAAAAGAAAGGAAATGCAATGTTTTGGCTGTGAAGCCTTCTTCAGGGGTGAGAGAATCTTGAATATGAAACTTTGACATATTGGGAAAACAGTGATATACAGTACTTCGTTTTTTGGCATTTTAGAAATCTGAAAGGATTTTTTCTGCCATACTAACTCACGCATGTTACAGTATATTGTTTCTGGACAATTTGAAAAAAGCTGCGCGGTACCCTGCCATGCCATTCTGACATGCTTCCATACCTTAAACTGGCATGGTTTGGCCTCAAATGATGCTGTTCACAAAGTTGTTAACCTACAACATTGGGAGAACAGCAGCCAATGAGAAACAAAAAAAACATAACAGTAGTATTACAGGTTGCAAATAAGAAAGAAACACCTTCTAGTGCTAAACCCTGAGTGAAGAAACAAATTTTGTCTAGAAGACTGTTGTTCTTGGGTTTCTTGGATTCTTTTCAGAGTCCTATAGTTTTCATAGGAAATCGCTGAGCTCTGGTTTGTATAACATACTGCCATGGTCCAAGATATAATCTGGGGAAGCACTGAATTATTTGTATTGCTGGTTTCTGGTATTGTAAGCTTCACTTACAATTTAGAGCATAGACAGAAATAACTACAGTACACATCAGAATGGAATTGTTCTGGATATGTAGAAATATGATAATCTCAGAACAGTAAGTAATGAAATTCAGTAAGAAACCAGAGAACATGAAGAAATGTAGGGATAATTTGAAGAGCAGACCAGCAGCTTAGAGTTGAAATAAGAATAAGTAATAAGTTCCAAACACCAACACCCAGGACTACTTAGAAATCCCAGTGGGAAGAGTGCAGGACTCAAATCACTGGAAAACATATTCCTTTTTGGTTCCTCCAGAAAAACAGGAATTTGGTCCCAAAATGTATTTGTTTTTTGCACTTGTTGAAGAAATCTTTTGTCAAGTCACTGAGAGACAATCACTAATCAAGATAAGGCTCAGAATGTCCTTTGCAGTGATGTAACTGAGAAGTTATTTAGATTGGGGGAAGTCACATTAAAAGCTACATTGAATTATAATAATATATTTTAAATATGTTGTCAGTTGTTTGCAGCTATAACTGTTTTTATGTTTTATGTAACTATCACTAATGTGTTATAGATAGCCAAGTTTAACAATGCAGTGTGCTGTTTTTTACACCTACATTATCGTTTATGGTTATTCTGTGTGCATTTGTTTTCAGGACTCTTATCGATTTGGGCAGAACATTCGTCAAGCAATGCTGGACATAAAAGCTTTATTTCACCTTAAGGACAAGAAGATGTGATATTTTGAATGAGTTGTCTTTTTTTTTACTTCCAAATTGTGTTCATTTCACTGTTATATAAATGTTTGGAAATCATAACATCCATTAAAATGTATTAAAGGAATCTAAATTTAAGTAATTTCTTTGAACATTTTAATTTTCATACGATTAGAATCCACAGCAAGTCTTAAATATTGTTAAGTACCATTTGCAAAACAACAAACCTATTCTAGGTACAAAATAATTAAATTTTGACTTTATGTTGTATTCAGCAAGTTGCTCAAAAGAAACCCAAGATTGAAATAATGAGGGTGCAGATAACTTTGTAATTTAATCAGCCATTTTAATTACAGATAATTTTCAGATAGTTTTTCTTAATTAAATGGGGAGGATTTACAGTGCCTTCAAAAAGATTTTCATTATGAACTCTTAATAGTAATCATTTCTTATTAAAAAACATTACTGAAGTGCATTTCCTTGATATTTTGTTTAAGTCTGTTTAGTTCTGCCATCTTATATTATTGTGTTGAACCTATTTTGAGGTTTCAAAATGTTTGGGAAAGTTGACCAACAGACACCATTTATTGGTCTGGTGATTGTTGTTGGGAAAGAAGGCACTCGTAGTTAATATCCTGTAAACTTGTTGCTCCTTGACTTAAGTGTTTTGAGTCTAGTTTAAAAGTCAAAATAAAAAAAAACTACTATTGAACTTCCTGTTGAAGTGTATGCGCTTGTGAAGCTAAAATAAAAAAAAACTCGGTCATTACCATAGCACAGAACCAAACCACATAATCAGCAATAAACCAAACTCAGCCATTTGGAATGTACACAAGAAAGAAACCACAGGTATAGTTACAAATCAACCAAGGCCAGATAAGCCAAGAGAAACCAATCAAAGCTGCCAAGGAAAACCCTAGACCAGTGCTGATAGCAGACTGAGATAGCAGAACTAAAAACGGTTAACGCCAAGAGCTGACAGACAAGTATACCAATGTTTATCGGTAACAAAACACCTGAGGTGGCGGCACAGTGTTTTTTGCTCACAAATAAATGCTTGACAGACTTCAGAAGCCTCTATAGAGACACTGTGGTGAAATATATGCTTGTGGTTCTTTTCAAATGCTGGGGTGTTGGAAGTGTGATGTTATGAGCAGGAATCCCCTTAAATACTAGTTCAAGAAAACAATGTGGCTTTTGCACCATGGCCAGATTTTTCTCCTGACCCAAGTCCCAGCCAAACATCCATAGCACCAACTTGCAACCACCAGAATGAGAAAACTGCAACTGGCCAACTTTTGCCAGTGAGTTGCAGTTGCAGGAAGATCCTGCTAATTTTAAAACAAATCCAAAACCTACAGGTATCTCCTGTGCAAGTTCCAGTTTTGTACATTTGGGAGCATTTACTTGCTATTGATGTGTGAAGTACACACATTTGACAATGCACACAGTGAGTGACTTTATTACTTTTTAATACAAATTGAGCAGTACATGAGCTGTATCTAGAGAAGTGAAATGAGAAATTCTTGGGCTCCTTAACGTACTGAAATAATGAATAAGAGTTGATGTTTTTTTAAGTGCTCTCTCTGGGACTCTAGATTTTATATCAATGTATTTAAGCTGTTACATTTAAAAACTTCTATCTTTCATTATGCCACACCTACTTGCATTTTGTGGACAGTTTTTGGGAAGAAAAATATCCAAGCAGTGGATAGGTTAACAGTAAGCTGCCTTTATTGAAGAGGCACAAAAAAGAGCTGTGTGAATGTGTTATTGACCCAAATACAGAATTCATTCCAGAAATTGCCATGATACACCCCTCCCCCCAATTAAAAATTACCTGAATTTATAACATGAATAGAGAATAACCTGGACTAAAAAAAAAACTACCTTCTTTCATGGATAGTAATCTTACACACGCCAAGGCAAAAGTGAAATGAAAACGGTAGTTGGTTCTGCTGTACAGCAACATCAAGACAAAAGGTCAAGACATTGTTATGCATTCTACAAACACAGCACCACGTTTCTGACACGGAACATCCCACATTTTTATCCTATGGTCACAGTTGGTGTTTTTCTATGCATAGATTACTGATTTGTATTGAGTACAATGATTAATACCATAAGCAATATAAAAAGCATTCCTATAATGTATGACTCGGTTTGATCTAGTCTTGAACAACCTGTTTTTTTAAAAAACTCAAAGACCCACTAACAAAGAATTACATATGACCAATTGAAAACTTCTTCCATATGCTTTTATAAAAGACATCTCTCGTACAAGAGCAATAAAAAATACCTATTGGGACAGTTGGCAAATTGTACATAGATCACAAAAGCGTGCACATTTTTTTGCAGAATAAAAAGGAGAGGAAAGCTAGGAAACATACTAAACATTAATTGAAGCCTTTATGAAACTGGACAAAAATAAGGGGACGTTTATATAGAACTATACAAAATATAAAATGTGATAAACACTACTGACCACAGAACATTACTGATTATATTTTAAAATTATTTGTGAACTTAACATTTCTTAAACAGTAAAAGTGTACAATACAGTAACAACTTATTTGTCTGCTTCATTGTCTGCATTGTAGCAAGCAGACCAATAAGCAGCTTTCCTTGCAGAAACATATGGTAATGCACAAATATATTTTGTAATTGCTGACTTATGCTACCTTAGGAAGAATGGATATTTTTGACTCCTTCAATTGAATGTATTCACCATGCAATATCAGTACTTTCCAAAATGTCTTACTTTTAAAAAATAAAATCATGGCAGTAATGCTTTTGAACCATTGGAGAAAACAGCAATGAACCAAAGGCAGAAAAAAAAAACCATGCAATCTTTAAAGTAAGTTTACATCTCCATGTCTTTATCATATACATAATTCTTTTATTCAATTTTTCAAGGCATACACTATTCCTATGTTTTAATTGTACACATAGTGGACAGACAAACATAAACGCTATCACGCTACTTGTTGGTAATGTGTGCTTGGTGAAAGCACCTTTAAAAATAGCCTATACGGCAATGGACAATAAGTATCTAAAGATTCAAAATGAATCAACAGTATTGGATAATAATATTCTCAACTTAGAAGCTGCCTTAAGATTAGGTGCATCTTCAGTTAATGTAACAGAAAAAAAATAAACAAAAAAGGCAATGGATCTCTTTTTTCTTCTTCAGTTGTATCCACACATGAACTGCCCTAAAACCAACTTCTGGGCAGGCCAGATACAAAGTAACATGATAGTTTTTATACAATAGGATGGTTCTAGAAATCGCTCCAAAAATACATCTATTCCCTTCCCTAAATTAAGAGGTGGCACCAGGAGTTGGGTTGACGTTCTGTGTTGCAACCTGCGGGGCTACTTCAATGATTCGTGGCTTGTCAATTATTCTGGCTGTGCGGTTTCCTTTTTCTACAATCCCAATGATCCATGCCTGGTGGCCCTCACCGTACTTTGGAGATTTGATCTCTGCACAGAAACGCGCTGCCTGCTCACGGGGCAAACAAATCAGAAGGCCTCCTTTAAAAAAGAAGAATAAAAAAAAAATCACAAAGCAAATATTTACTTACATGCTCTTCTTTTTCGTTTTATGATGAACAAAGTCCAAAGTCGCTTCAGAACCTAATTGGCCGGTCTAGGACCTTCGTCCCATATGACTTTATTCACATTTTCTTTCACTTTTACCTTCTTATCACGCGGCTTGCCAAACTTCACCAAAGGCTTCTTCTTTCAATTCAGAAATTTAATGTGGCTGATTTGTTAGTAGCAAGTAAAATTTAATGGAAATTAATGGAAACACTAAACATTTTAAGTGCTATGACTATGAAAATAACAACATTTATAACCCTCTTGTAGTACTTAGCACAAGCTGTACAAATCTCAACTAAAATTAAAAAAATAACACTTAAGAATATTTGAAGGTACTGGACACCCCCCAACCCTTTATGACTCCCGAAAATGACTCCTGATTTCAGTACTTGCTCTTACTTTCTACATGTATCTTTAGGACTAATTGTAAAATAATGTCGCAGATTAATCTTTTGAGTTGACACTGTGAGTACCATCATGGTTTAAATTCTTTTAGAAAAAGATGCCCTATTTTAATCTGTCCCAACACTGAAGAGATTTCGTTTTTAACCTGTGCATATCATGCCTTTAACTTCAAGATTTAAACATCAATTTTTTAAACTAATTTGATAAGTGCAATGTCCTTGTTGGACCTAATCTGTACACAAAATGCTAAACAATGTCCGAAGACAGCATTATATACAGCATATACAGTATTGTATATTAACTTTCTTGGATTAAAATTCTTTTTTTTTTACCATGCATCATAACATCTTATTGTACAGTGTCCCCTATCTTTTGTCATCTGTAATTGTGACAAGTAAACTAAACAAGAACCCAGTTCTCTGATGTACACCTGAAAGAGCAGCAGGGCAAATTGACAGGGCAGATTACTGTTCCATTCCACTAATTAAAACCACTAACTTAAGACATATCTTAATACAAGTACACCCTTTCTGTGGAACTTACATACACTCCTACTACTGCCAGGTCACAGAACTCAAGTAGTATGAACATAATGTTGAGTTCTTCTTTTCTCACCTGATGTTTCAGGACAGGTACCATGCATTAGACCAAACATGTTGCCACATGCTTTGCTCACAGCAGCCATTTTTGCTAATACGGGGAGGTTGTGGATAACAAATGACACTTCATTTCTCTGCTGTCGGGCCAGGTTCTGAGCATGCCCCAAAATCCCGAAGCCTGTAATGTCTGTTGCTGCATGGGCATTGAAAGTGTGCATTAGCCCGGCAGCTACACAGAAAAGAAAAAAAATTAATTAGTTTTCCGCACAAAAAATAGCTGGGATTCTTTAAAATAAGACATTTTAAATACATCAGGTGGGTAGCTGCGTCAGCATGCGTAGGCTGCAAAGGAACAAGTAATAGGTTTACTTTTGCCAGTTAGCTTGCAGGGATACAGAATATAGAAATATGCCAATAATGTATTTAAAATGCAAAGGAACAAGTATAGGTTTACTTTTGCCAGTTAGCTTGCAGGGATACAGAATATAGAAATATGCCAATAATGTATTTAAAATGCAAAGGAACAAGTAATAGGTTTATTCCATGCTGAAAAAAAAAGAAGAAAGAGAACACAACGTTTCGGCCGTGGAGCCTTCTTCAGGTATTTCTATATTCTGTATCCCTGCAAGCTAACTGGCAAAAGTTATTACCAAAACAGACATACAGACATACATTTACATTCAGCTATCGTTGAAGAAAATCTATCTATAAAGTAATTTGATTAGAGCACATTGTCATAACTGATAAATGCACATGACCATGTTACAAGTTTGCAGTATAGTTGTATTAATTGTATTAAGAAGTTGTAAGGCAATGTATTCTTCAACAGCCAGTACATCTGTATAGCTGGATTATTTAAAAACATTGAAAATATTAGCAATATTAAGGTATGATCTAATATAGTAGATAGCAGCAGTGAGTTGCTTGTGCTAAGCTGCCAACAGCTTTTGGAGGCATGTATATCGACATGTTCTGAAGCCTTCCTCTTCTACAGTACACACACCACAGTTTTTAAAACAAACTGTGAAAGGAAACAACATGCTCAAGCACATAAAACAGATTTTAATTTGTGGAGAACAAAGTAATGAAGGTACTGGTGTGAAAGCACTTGAGATAACCAATCCGCTAGATATACTAGTACTGCATTTTTTACTCTAGAAAGTCAAATTAAATTAGTATTAGCTTTATTCAAATCTCATTTGGAATTGGCAACATGTTTTAGCATCATTAAGTACACATGACAGTTAATAGATTTCTATAGCAGCAAATCCAGTATGGTTTAAGAGAGAATGACACAGGCAGACATGCCCCTCTGACACTCCACTTCGCCCCAGAGAGCCTCCAGAGCTTTTCAGAGTTACTGCGCTAGAGAAGCTACAAAAATATTCATACTAAGGAATATTTAATGTGATAAACCCCCCCCCCCAAAAAAAAAATAATATTTAAAGTATGTAAACAAACCTCCAAAACAAGTACAACTTAATACTTTCATGATTTCATGATTACACACTGTGTTTTTTTTCCCTCTCAGTCCTGCTACCTTTGTTGTACTCTGCTATACAGACTAAAGTGGCAAATGTCAGTAAAACCAGATGCCTCACATGCAGATCGCAGCATGCATCTTGTTTGGGCTTAAGCTTTAAAATGAAACAGCTGTTTTGTTTTACCTACTTTCATAGAATGATACACTGTTCAATGACTAAATATCACAGTATATCATATGTAAAGAAAAAACAACAGACTGATGTAACATAACTTATCATTACGCCAATGCCAGACCAATTTGTTTTTTTAACATTATATACTTTATTTCCTCATTAAACATTGTTTTGCTTAGAAATGTAAGCCCTCTCACCGATTTTTACATTTTAAAGAATGGAGTCACTCTATATTTCCATCTGTACACTATACAGATTATTATTGAACTTACAACGGAGTTCAGGGTTCAAAAAGTTAAAGAAAATTTCAAAACGAAATCTGTTGCATTAATTCACTTTTAAGAATAATCATATAGTAATGACAGATTTTGAAGGATGTAATACAACATTTTTGGCATGAACAGAAAATACTTTCTGGAAGAAGTGGCTGCACATTGAGCAACTCTACCCTACCTGTTCTGTTCAGTCTTGCCATATTCATCATAGCCTCCTGGTATGCCAGCTCAACATCTTCCTGCGTCACAACCAGCTTGATTTTGTTCCATTTTTCTGGCTGTCAAAACAAAATGAAAATCGGTCATACTGCAAAAGGTTGTCAGTTTTACAGCAGACAATGTTGCATTTTTAAACTGCTGTAAATTGCTTCTCATCAAAACCAAAATAACGTAAATCTAGCTCTAGCTTTATATATGTAAGGAGTACAGCATGGTCTCGTCATTCGTGAGGGTTCAGAGCGGAGAACCACTGCGAATATCCATATTTGCATATAACCAAGTCCAGTCCTATATCGTTGCATAATGTTTTACAGAATATAGTATGTAAGGTTCAAAGACATTAGTAACCTTCCCTTATATGACAAGTAAAGTACTAATGATGTGACATTAAGTTAATTAAAACAACTACAATAATCACAAACATGTACTCACAGATGTGTAACGTATAATCACAAACGTATACTAATTTGTTAAAATAAACAACATGAAACCCTGCTCTACGTTCAAAAGATGCTATTTCTGTGCTCTGTGATTAGCATACCGCACTGCAATGAAAAGGGCAATAAAACTGTCAGTGAGCCTGTAAAGTCATCACCAGCCTGTCATTCCCCCTGCTGCATATACAGAACCAGGAGTGTTTGTTACAATACAAAAACAAGGCCACTCTGTGATGCGGGTGCTGGGTAATGGGTACTTGGGCAGGGGGCAGGGGGGCAGGGACAGGTTAATACTGGTTAGATTCATCTTGGCTAATTTGAAAGTTGCGCTTAACAACCTCAGGCTTGGTGTCATTCTGCTCTGCTCTTCTTCCATCCAAAACCCCGTCAACTAGAGTGAATTACGAATAAGCAAATTTGTGAATGTTAAATTTGCAAATGCTGAGACTAAAATATCATTTAGGTATAAGAGTGTTGTGTTGCTATTCCTGTACATTATAATTTAATAATAATGAGTCATTACATTATGACCAGCAAGGTATGATTGTGCAAATTTTTTATGTAGCCTTGAATGAGTACTAAATTGAAAACGTCCACTTTAAGTACTATAAGAATTGTTTTAACTACAAAAATGTATATGTAACTTACAATGTCCAGCCACTGGTGCACTGCCACAGCTACTTGTGTTCCTAGTGGTTTTGTTAGCACCAGTACATCTCCAGGCACAGCATTGTCTGGCCTGCAGCAAGCAAAGAAATTAGATAATTTTGTGCATGGTACAGTCATGATGAGTTTGCATTAAGCATAAGGAATACCGTTACTTTCATAACGCTCTTATATCAGTAAATTCCTTATGGGTAAATAAATACATGATTATTAACATCAAAAACAGGGAAAATGAAGGAATGACTAAACAGAGTAAAACTGCTAAACTTACATAATGAACTCATTGGGCTGGCATACAGTTGTTGCCACTCCACCGAGTACAATCCAGGGATTTAGCACTGTTTGGCCTCCGGTTACTGATGTTCCTGCCTCTTCTGCTGCATCCTTAAAGCCCTGGATGATCAGAGGCATCACCTTGTCTCTCTCCTAAACATTTCAACACATAAAAACCATCAGACAAGGAATGCATTCACTGAACACATATATACCCAAAGGAAGAAAGTCAGAAATTATCAAATGAATAGCAAAAGGATAGTAGAAGATTTAAAACTCACAGAGCTCTGCAACAATTTTCAGACCTTACAGCTAAAAATATATACTGACTAATTGGCTATTGCAACAAATTACCAGAGTTCTACAAAAGTAAATTTCAGAGCTCTTACAGCATCTGGTATGAGGATTAATGTTTTGTGAGGAACGTTCTGCATATAGATATATCATGTTGTATTTCTAGTGTTATGTTCTTGTTGCCCCTTCAATTAATATTAGCAAGATCTGGAAAGCCTTTCTTTTCTAAAACCATGTTGACTTAAAATGCCATTATATTGATTATGCCAACATTCCTCTACTTCAGTTCGAACTGGATTTTTTAAATGAAATGTTACATTTGTAATTCTCCATTTGTGCGTAGAGTTCCCATTCATAATGTCAAATTACAGTTGAAATGTAGTTGAAATATCCAAGTTACAGTTCTGTCAATAACAACAATAAAGTTTTACCAGACCCAAAGGAATTGTTGATTTTAACATAGTCCTTGTATTACTTCTTCTGTTGCGTTATAATTATTTGTAGATTAACTTCCCCGAGTGTCCGTTTTTACTTTTGGCCTGGCCTATAAAAGATTCTCCTTGCCAAGCTCTGTGCAAAGAACCAAAATCACTTGGTGGCAAAAACATGACTGCGGTGAGAGCTATTAACACTACATGGCATGACATTTTGGTGTAAAAGAAGCAGAAATTGCTCGCATATTGTGGAAATGCATCCTTTGATCGGAAAATAACTCAAAAAAGCTTTCACTGTTGTCCAATATTTACAGGCAATAGGACATGGAAGTCCCTTTCTACATTTATTCTTAATGTACCAGTATTGAAAAATGTGATGTTATTACATTGTCAAATAAATGTTTTATAAAACAATATAGTGTTTATAGTATATATTGTTTTGTTAGATACATAGAATTAAGAGTTTTATATATTTTTTCAAGGATAGTGAGTTAGGAAGTCATAAAATAATGAATCAGCAAAAATGACTCAAGAGTTCAATGAAAAAAAAAAAACAATTTAGCAGTTCTTTCTTATACAATGGAAACCTTTCCAGAGTGTGCACCTTGAATATGTCCGAGATTCAATTATTTTACACATGGCTCTTTAGGAAGTTCACACACTTTCTGGAGGTGGGACTTTCATGTCAGGCTATACAGGTTGTTTATAACAATACTCTTGGTGCATTGCATTATGCTGCCATTGAGGTGACCTATATTCTACCCATACAGCAATGCCAATGTCAAGAAGAAACCTCTTTCAGAACAATAATACTTATTCAGAAAAGGCAAGGATCACTTGTGCCTTCTACCTCAGTATTGGATCTGTGCTAACACACAGGCTGAACGTATTGCTGGACCTTAACCTACTCAAGCACATGTTGGAGAGAACTGGTCAGGCGTATTTGCCTGAATGCACTATATACTTCTTGCACTTAAAGCAGAGACATAACCTTACACTTGAATCAATACATTCATTCCTGAAGTGTTTACACAGGTGTATTACTGATCTTAGTGTTTGCTTACAAACACTGTGTGTATACACAGCCCTACCTTTGCTAGTATACCCTAAAAAGAATGTACATTTCTCTATACTTAAGAATGAACAGTTTGTAAACTTCCAGTATTTCATTTTTTTTCTTACCTTATCTGACAGTTTATTACTGATTCCAAGAAGCATCAACATATTGTCACACTCTGTAACACCCATGGCATAAAGGTCACTTAGTACATTGGCACATGCAATGCGACCCTGGAAGAAAAGCAAACATAAAAGTACTTACTACTACAAGTCAATAGTGGTAATATTTATAAATAAATAACAATTCAATGTTTTCTTTCCCCATCACCTGCTGACTTGCATTGTAAACTGCACTTTTAGGTATTCACAATTAATAATCTGTTAGCCTTGAAGACTAGAATAATACATAAAACATCTGTCCAGCAGTATCACTGGGTGACAAGGTGCCACTGGGTAACTTACTGAGAGTGCAAACAAGAGATGCTTTCATATACATAAAAACATCTTAAAAATGCAACCTCAAATACAAAGTATGTGTGAAAACAACATGATATAATAACAACCATGAAAAATGACTCTTCTCCTGAGACCTGAATACTGTTTATTACATGGACCCCAGAATACAAACAATCACAGTTATGAGAAATGTGAAATGCCTCAAGCAGAGACACACTAACAAGGATTTAAAATACTACTACAGAGCAGGGCTATTATGTATCAATTAGTTTTTGGTCTTTGCAAAAAAAAAAACAACAACATATGAATGTAAATTAATACAATCTTTCATTCTTGACAAAACACATTCTGAAAAGAAGTAGTAACAGTTGTGAAAAAAATCAAACTGGTTCATTTTTTGGAGAATTAAAGTGCTGAAGGTAATATACTGTAGCCACAGTTTTGGAATATATTTTGATAGAGCAGTAGCCTAAGGATTAGGTGCACTTTGCTGTTATATTCATTCTCATGAAAAGAAAGGCACTGTACAAAAATACTAAATGACTAAAGGCAAATTTCTTGAAGTCCTCTTTTGTAAAATTCATACTGATTATGAAAAATCCTAAAACTATCAGAAATGTATCAAATAAAACCAAAGGATCTTCAGTCACTTGGTCAATGTGCTTCTTTTAAAAAAAATACAGATAAGTTACAAAGCTCATCTGCAGTGTTTTGACAAACAGTGAATACAAACATCACAGAAAATAACAAGACAATGCAGTAAGATAATTAGTATTAAAGTGCAGACTGGTGTCACAATTCTACAGAGATCAAAACCATCTTAGCTGTGCACCAGCTTATATATTCTTTTAATATGGAAATTATTCTGTATTCTTGTTTATTTCTAATAATATATTTCTGGTGAACAATGCTGAGTTCAATAATAACCACTCCTGAAATTCAAGTATGTCTCAGTTTGTCTATCAATTGAATGTTGAATAAATTACACACAAGTGCTATTCAAATTGTATAAATAGGATATTTCTACTCATAACTACATTTTTGTACTCAGAGTAAACTCACAATCAACATATTGTTAATACTGGGTAAAATAATAATAATAATTACCATCATATAGGGATCATCTACAATAGGATAAATGTAGTCTGTTGTCTGAACCAATGAAAGGCCACCATGTCTTAAAGGAATAACACATGTATCCATTCCAATGCCTGAAACAAAGTATAGAAAATAAAATTAATAAACATGCTCATGTGGAGAACAACTTTTATCCTTGATATATACTGTTCATTTCAGTCTTTTATGTTAATTACACATTTAAAATCACCATTTATTTTACTGGTTGACAGCTATTAATGAGATCAGTACAATGAGTCCTGGATAGTCTCAAGGTCACACCAGAAACAATTTCTTCTAAAAAAGGCAACTAAACAGCCAAAATTGATTTGGATATCGTGAGTGTAATGAATACCACATATTACAATATCATAAGTAAACATGAAGGGTTTTTGGTCCTGGAACCACATTTTACACACCAATGAATTTTAATGTTGCACTTCCTGAAGTCACACTTATTTTATTTTTTTGAATACAAGAACAATAGAGCCCCATTTCTGGCAGCAGAAAGTCTTGATTTTATCAATTTTTTTAAAATATTTGAAGTCTCAATCATTATACAACTATATACTTCTTTGCTAATGCTAATACTGTAGGTCTGCAAAACAGCTACTTTAACATTTGTTTTTGTCTACTGGGTACTAGGCAGCCTAGATTATTATTACAACTATAATCTGGACATGACAGGAGTATTCCCACCATTTTGGGCAGCATATGCTTATTCTGACACTTCTTAGATCTCTCCTCATGTCTTTAAATGGCTGATGTCAGGAAGCCTTTTTCAGACATCATATTCTGCTCCTAACCTAAACCACGATACTGCACTGTTGAATGTGTTTATAGCACCTGCCGATCAGCACATTCCAGTGCTTGTCCAAATGCCTCACTCACACCACACAGCACTGACTGATTATCTTTCAGATGGCTCTGGATTTTGACAGTAACGCCACCCATCCTCATTGAATCTTCAACAGCCAGAATCCATTCTTACTGTCCAGGAATAGATCAGAGCAATTCATGCAGGCACTCATTCACTAACAAGAGGATATTATACTGCAGGGCCTGTAGTGTCACTAGTGAGAGTGCACACAGCCGCTATTTCTGAACACTACCTCCTGTGAGTTCAAGATTCAAGATACAAGATACAACAAGTGTCCTCTATAATCTTCATAGTAAACAGAAGAACCTACCAAGCCTGGGCATGACTGCCCCAAGAAACTGCTCATCTTCCTGGAAGTGGTTTTCTTGTAGAGATTCCAATAATTTCTGTAAGACATCCTGCGGGACCTTGCACCCTGTACCCTTCAGTTCTGTAAAACGAGTTAGTCGAAAACTCTTGTCCAGTTCATAGCTCTCGGGGTTAAAGGACTCCCGAACAGACATGGCTGGAGAACGCTAGAGCTCTTTCACCAATCGAGAAGGCTGCTCTTCTCCACTGCTGGCAATCTGAGTAAGAAAAAAGAAACCTAAACTGTGAAGCATATACCACAGGTTGATTAATCACATTTACTCATCTCTACACATCACAAAGAACAAGAAAGGCATTCAAAATTCACACTGCCTTTGTAGGACTGTTTTTTAAATGACTATTTTTAACCCCACTCTCAGAAATTTGGTGGCAACAACAATATTAATGAAGAGAAGTCCCTCCACATTTCTGTTCTATAATAAGTTATCGGAGGTGAAGAAAATGCACTTCTCTGTTCTAAAGCTCCGTTTACGTGAGCTATTATTAATACAATGAAATACGATGGACAGCAATGGTTTTGAAGAGATACAAGCAGCAACTGTGGAGCCATGAAATCTGCTAAAGCAGGTGTTCTTAACTTGGGGGGTGTTAAGACATGTAAGATTTTTTTTAATGTAATTCATTAAAAACACAAATCACTTAAGGATGCAAGAACATATTTTGAAAACCAAAGGGATGCAGGCTGAGGTAAAGATTAAGAACCAGTGTGCTCTACGAATGGGCTCAGAAGTAGTACTACTCACTAAAATCAGAACTGTTCAGTTCTTGACCAATTTTCAGTGTCTCAAGAGTCATCTGTGAACTTTTACCAGCTGATACCACAGTGCTTTATGGCATTCTTATCTTTATTGCGATTCCTACATACTGTACATGTTATTAACTTATTAATGGACACTGTTTTCTCTTTGAAATGAGAATTATTCTGATGATACGTTAGGCATTTCGAGTGATGCACTGTAAACAATTGGGGCAAATGTGTCAAGTGCTTTGCTATACGTAATCTCAAGTAGCTAAAACGCTACGTATCAAGGGTCGGGCCTTTGCCAGGAACTACTCGTGCAACGTTTTGTCTTAAGGTTTTTTTGTGTTATTAAAGTCTTTTCAATAAAAGTTACACCTGCGATGTATAGGAGGGAAAGTCGGTCTCTTTGCCTCCCGTCACTCAACAACCAGTAGGGTTACCTTAAATTTTTTTATGCAGCTGCTGCCTTTAATGCACTGGGGCCTTAGTTAGGCTCCTTCTGTTTCATTTGAGTTCTCATAAAACTAAACAAGAAACAAGCACTACGAAGGGATCGTCTGCAAGTACACTTCCAAAACATTAGATCCGCGCATTCTATTGTAGCTTGATCCAAATGCATACAATATGCAGCACGTTTACAACAAAGGCACTGTTATTTTAAAGGGGAAAATGTCGGAAGATAAAATATTAACCCCTTCGTTATTTTCCCGGTTACAGCCCGTTCTTACAGAGCCTAGCTAATGAAACGTGCACATAAGCAACTCCCTCTATTATTTCTGACTTGCAATGCCACATAACAGTGTTTACATAAATATAAGATGGTATGTGATTAATGATATCTCTTGTTTCCCTTTTTTAAAGAAACCGGGTAAGATCGCTCATAAAAATGTCGGCGGTTGAAAAAATTAACCCTTGATCATCCCGACACGAGGAAAGCGACAAGACACTCTCCCGGTAAAAGAAACCACTTGATTGCTTCAATCCTGCAAAGCACCCACATTTTCAGCCGCGCAAGTAGTATTTAAAGCTGTACCCTGTTCATTTTTTTCAAAAGAAAGACTGTTACATTAACATTTCATTTCCCCTTTAATTCAGCATTCTTGGTTTCTGTCTCCTTACCGGTTTCGCTTTAGCGGAGCCTCCCGATACAAGAGGGGGGACTGGCCCAAAATGCACTAGGACCACAGGGGCGCCCTTAAACAACGCCTGAAGAGAAAGATACCAATAATGTTCTTCGTTTTACAAAATAGTTGCAGAAAACCAAGTTTTAGGGAAACTTGTATCGAAGTCCGGGAACAATATATTTTACGTTTGCCACTCTTTGCATTTCTTTGGGTTAGAAATCGACGAAAATAAGAGAAAAAACAGACAACCGACAAGGGTCCTTTAAATCGCTGACTGGCGCGTTTACCTCCCCTTTAAAGGGTATTTTAAAGCCAGGCAATAAGAAAGTCAACAATGGAATGTGCCTTTAAATTTGAATTTTTAGATTCTCTGCAAACCCTTTTGCAATCTTGCAAGTATCAGTACCAAAGAAAAAGAATTAACATGTTTTGAGAGCAAGTTTGTTTACACTGTTTATGTACCATAATTCTAATGAAATATTCACATTTCTTTCAACAATGTTTCATTATTCGCTGTAAGAAACTAAGATGAGAGAAAAATGTTCATAGCACAAGAAAATGTTCTAGTAAGTAATAAAACTATTCCAAATAAAACCAACATGTCCTTACAATATTTTTGGGAGACAAACCTCACACCTTCCATGAACTAGGTTTGAATTATGTTTATTAGGAAACCTTTTTTTGGCCATTGCCTATTTTTTAGTTGTGAGTTTCTATATACTAATTGCTTGAAATGTTACAATTTTAAAAGCATTGTAGCCCCAGTGTATTCATTAAAATGTATAGCAACTATGCAGCCTTTACTTCTCAACGAATCAAAATTGTTTACAGATAATTGTACAAGCCACATAATTTTTCTTAAATTGAGGGAGTGTTCTATTGTATAACTAATACAATATATCATTTTGTTCTATACTTATTAATCTTTGAATACTATTACTTAATCTCTATTATCTATTAATACCCCCCTCCTCCCACTGAGGCTAAAGTATAGTTAGACTGAAGTATAATCCAACGTTTTATTGCATATCATAAAACAGTGCATTTCACTTTTGGAGATGCAACTGTATGAACTGAATTAAAAACAGAAAACATATTGCAAGCAAAGGTTAAATTATCATATGGAGGTGTACACAGGTTCTGTGCTATGTTTAATTCTGGTATAAATGTTAAAGGCAGAATATAGACTTCCTTTTAAAGACTTCAGAAAAGAGTCTTATAATACTGTATATAATAAAATGGATATGGCATATAATGCATATTACTACAATGAAAGCAGCACAAAATAAAAGCAAAACAAAGCTCAGGAACTCTTGGACTGACTAAGTCTTGCTTTACCATCAATCTCTGTATCCGGAAGTTTCATAAATGTGTCAGAGATTAGTTAATTCATGCAAATAGATAAGAAAACAAATCTCTTGTTGATCTCTGAAGTATTCCTCCATTCCCAGTACTGTTTCCAGAGAATTAATCTATTTTCTATTCACTTTCCTGTAATATTTGGGATTCCCAGATTTGGGAACGAGTGTATCCATTTTACTCAGAAAGGCATTTAAAATACTCAATATGTTAGCAGTAAAATGTTATACCTAAGATATTGTAGCGAGATGGGATCGACGAGGATGCAGACAGGAATTCAGGCTCTTTTGAGAACGGAAACCTGCTCTTTATTGCCGGCATGCTGGACCTCCAGGACGTCCCTCCCACACTGGCGACAGCTTTGGGCTGAGGCTCTTGCGGCATTGTGGGTTGTAGGCCCGGACAAGGTCCCTCGGTCTGAAGGGGGTCCCTCTGCAGCACAGATCGTAGTACCGTACCCCGCCTGGGTCAGGCGACTTTGGGCGAGGCTGTGTACTAGCAGCATCCGCTGCTGCAGGTCCCACTCATAATCCAGTTCATCTGGCTGCACCAGCTCTCCTCCAGGCAGTGAATCAAATTCCAGATCCACCAGGGAACACAGCTCCTGGCCCAGCATGAGTGAGCCCAGGGTGCACCCAGTGGACTCCTGCACAGCACTCCGGTACGCCCAGAGGGCAAGGGGTAAGTGGCTGTCCCAGTCCCCCTTGTGTCTCTAAACCAGGGTGGCCAGTTGAGTGGAGAGCGTCCGATTAAAATGCTCCACCAATCCGACGCTCTTGAGATGCAGCGGGGTGGTCCACGTTTTCTTAATCCCCAGGCACTGGCACACCCCAGCAAACACCCGGGACTCGAAGTTACGCCCCTGATCATTATGGAGTTCCTCAGGCACCCCCAGCCTGGCCAACATTCTGTCTAATAGAGCGTCGGCTATGGTGGACGTGCCCTGATCTGGGAGGGCGTAAGCCTTGGGCCACTTCGTAAAATAGTCCACCGCCACCAGAACGTAGCGATCGCCCACCTCAGTGCGTGGAAATGGGCCCAGTATGTCCACCCTCACTCGCTCCATGGGCCCACTCACCTCATGCTCGCTGCTGGGCACACTCAGGAGGGTCTTTCTGAGCCACGCAGATCGCACACATCCGGCAGAAACATTCCACGTCCCGGTGGCAGAGACCCCAGTAGAAGTGGAGTCGTTGTAGGGTTTTTGTGGTGCCGAAGTGCCCCGCGCCTGGCTGGCCGTGCACTGCCCGGAGAACCTACCCACGGAGCAACTGCGGTATGACCAGCTGCCTCCTGACCTCTCCGCTGGAGGGTACCCGCCACCCCCGGCTCAGCTACCCGTCCCAAACCTCCAAGGCCTCCCACAGAGCACAGAGAGTCTTCACGGACTTGGGGTGAGGGGCGAGATCCTCCCGTGTGGGCTGGGTCTCAGCTACCTTCCAGCGGAGCACTTAATGTCGGGGTCCGCCCCCTGCTGCTGCGCCAGGTCCGCAAGGTCCACACAGAACGGTCCGCGGCTGCGGAGGGCAGTCACTTCTGCCCTGCCCTGTCCAGCCAGGTGCAGTAGCGGCAGTCCGTTGCATCGCAGAGCCTCCACAAGAGAGCGTCGGTATTTCAATGAATCTCGTTCAAAGTGCACGATCGTGAAGTCGTACTCCTGCAGGACCTCAATCCACCTAGCCATTTGGCCCTCCAGCTCCTTTAAATTGAGTAGCCAGGTGAGGAAAGCATGGTATGTCCGTAGTTTGAAACAGGTCGCGAACAGGTAGGGCCTGAAGTGGTGGACCACCGCGATCGCAGCCAGCAACTCTCTCTGGGTGATGCAATAATTTTTCTCCTCCCTGCTGAGCGCTCCGGCTGAAGTACGCGACGGCCTGTTCCCTGTCCGTACTCTCCACTGCCCCCACCCCCAAGTTACTAGCGTCGGTATCTAGCACATAGGGCAGCGACAGTTCCGGAAAGGCCAGGATGGGAGCCCCCACCAGTGCCTCCCGCAGCCCCCGGAAGGCCACTTCACACTCTGCGTCCCACAGAAACTGGTGCCTCTTCTCTGTGAGGCAGTGCATCGGACCAGCGAGGCTGGCAAAGTCCCAGACGAACTTCCGGTAGTAAGACACCAACCCCAGGAAACTGCGGAGCTCCTCCACAATGCGGACTGTCGGCCAGTCACACACCGCAGCGACCTTCCCCGGATCCGTGGCTACCCCTTGCGGGCCGACCACATGCCCCAAAAAAGTATCCTCCCGCCTCAGGACCTTGCATTTCCTGGGGTTGAGCTTCAAGCCCGCCAGATGCAGGCCAACACCAACCAGAAGTTTGCCAGAGCCTGCTTGAAATCCTGGGCATGCACGAGCAGGCCATCAAGGTACACCATGCATTTGCTCTGGAGGACCGATGCCAGCACTCGCTCCATCAACTGCTCAAACGTTGCTGGGGCATTACACAGTCCAAAAGGCATGACTGTGAATTTCCAGAGCCCCTGGAGAAACCCGTCTTTGGGCGAGCCTCTGGAGCGAGAGGAACCTGCCAGTAGCCACTGCGGTGGTTGAGTGAGCTGAACCAGGTCAACCAGAAGATGTAGTCCTGGTCATAATTCATCCGCGGAATCGGACAGGACTCATTCCAGGTGACCCCGTTCAGCTTTTTGTAGTCAACACAAAAACCTCCATGAGCCGTCCTTTTCGGGACCAAAACAACTGGAGCGGACCATGGGCTCGTGAAGGGCTCGATCACGACTGCCATGGCCATTTCTCGAACATTCTGCTCTGTGGCCGCCCGCTTGACGTGGGCCATTCGCCGGAGCAGAATGCGAATGGGCTATGCATCCCCGGTGTTGATTTTGTTCTGTGTGAGAGCCGTGCGGGTGCGGTCCCCATCACTCGCCACAAACAGAACCTCGTTCTCGGCAAGGAGAGACCACAGCCACCTCTGCTGGTCTTGGGTGAGGCCCTCGCTGCTACACCAAAATGCCTCCCGCACAGCATGCCTGGTCTCCGCCCGGCACTTGGCCCTCGCATTCCCCCCAGTGGCCACCGTGCGCAGCTTGAAAGCCGGCTCCAGCACGCTTGCTCCGAGACTCACCGCTCCGGTCAGTCCGCGCATTCTGAACATCCCCCGCCCCACCCCCCTCCGAGATGTATCAGTTCCCCCTGCTCTTCACCTGGGCACTCTTCGGCTGCAACGCCAGGGGAGGGCACCACAATATCTTCAGTTTGACAGCTGCCTCCATCAATGCTTTTACCATTCACTCACATGATCTGCTTTGTGACTCTACACATACTGGTGAGGTACATTTAGTAAGAACTGGAATGGGGCAGCAGGGTGGTATAGTGGTTAGCATTGCTGCCTTGAAGCGCTGGGGCCCTGGTTTCAATTCCTGGGGTGTTCTGTGTGTGAAGTTTGTATGCTGTGTGCCCTGTAATGGACTGGCGTCCTGTCCAGGGTGTATCCTGCCTTGAGCCCATGGAATAGCCTCTTCTGTCACCCTGTAGGATAAAGCCTAAAGGCTAGAAAGTAGATGGATGGGTTTATAACTGGTTACATAACAGCACTCCTGCCTCCAAGCTCTCGGTGGGTATGTTGGCATCTCTTGTTCTTGGGGCCTGAAATGGACTGGTGTCTCATCTGGGGTGGCACTGTATGTGCTCTGCACCTACATGTACTGTAGGTGTCCCATCCTTGGATTAAGCAGCCTTTCTGATAAAAGTTGGATTCATAATCTGAAACCCCTGATTACATTTCCATTTTTTTTTAAACATTTTTTCATTTGACTTTCATCTTTGTACTTCACATGGAAGAAGACAACATGCAGGAATGTGAGGCCAGTAAAATTTTATTTCATTCAGGAGGTATACAGTCATCTCCTAGGCAGACTAACAGGTGGGGAATCACTTATTCACGCTTCTCATATTAAGGACATTGA